TATTTACTATTATTAGCTATTCATCGCAGCTGGTGGTGGCAGAAATTTGAGGTATGCTATTGAGTAGATTAAAGTCATACTTCTCTAACTGTGATGCATACAAATCACCTAAAGAGAGATCTTGAAATATAGGTGACGGGCTGAAATAAGACCTGAAAACATGCATTTCTTTTTCTTTTTTTTTTAAAGATTTATTTATGCATACAGAACTGGGATACAGGCCAGAGTTGCAGGGGCTTTGAGAGGATTCACCAGAGACAGGGTGGGAAGCAGAACAGGCAGATCAATGAAGTACACTGCTGAGGGGAGCAGCGGGGGAGACAGGAGAGTTCTGCCATGGCGTGGGGGTCGCCTCCGATGCTGGAGATCAACTTGCACTGAAATGGTTGTGGCTAACTTGCAGTGCTGCATCCTAACCATTGCACCACCAGAGAGGGCCAGAAGAACATGCCATTTCTAACAAACTACCAGGTGACACAAAAGAACAAAACTTGATGCCAACTATGGGTATCAACAGGTTTGTTTGTGCAAGGACTAAGAGCTTCTGTATATCGTACAGGTATATTGTGGAAGCTACTGTTTTGGGTTTTAATTCTCATCAAGTAAGTAAGTTGAACACAGTGAAGCTGAAGGACTTACCCAAGGGGGCAAGTGGAAAAATGGACAAGCAGGAATCCAGATGCAGATGCATCTTTCCAAATGCTAAAGCAGAGAACCCGAGAGCCTGTGGAAGGATTATGGGAGGCGGTGGGGATTCTGTACAACTTACTCAGGGATAACAGCAAGAGTAGAAAGAAAGTTCCATGGCAAGGTCTTTCTGACTTTCAAGGTGGCTTTCTGACTTTCTTATAAATCATTACAAGGGTCACCTAAAGGTAGGAGACTTTACTTTCTCTTCCTAAAACTTCCACATTGCCCCAAGGACTCTCGTGTTTCCAGCATTCTTATTGTTTCAATTATTTTTGTCACCACCAATGTCACTAACATCTGGGTGTTCTTCAGGTGAATTGAAACTGAAAAGTGAACTCATTGGGTTTCTGTTGTCTGGAAAAATGATGGTCAGAGACAAGAATGTTAGTGCTTTAATCCTTCCCTAGGAAAAAGGCTGTTCCAGAAATAGAAAGTATTGTTTTGTTTTTAATCAGTTGCTCATTTGAATTCATATTCACTACTTCATTATGTTGAAAATGACACATGACGTCTTTGGATCTTTGGCTCAATAATCACTTTGATGTTTTATTTATTGATGCAAAAAATCACTTGCCTTTCAAGTTTGTTATCTTTCATTTCAATTGAATTTTTCAAAGTATTAAGAAACTAGCTCTATAGGATTGTCTACCTAGTTTGAAATTGGCACAAGATTCTGAAGTGTTATTGGTGCCCCTGGGTGTTTCCTGCCATTTAGTTTCAAGCTAATAAGGAAATGCAGAAGTTGGCTAGAGTTTGCTATGAATACTGTGGATAGACATTTGTGCTGGAACACATTCAAAGAAGGTTCTTTAGGGAATGTACTTTATCGTACCACAGCTTTGTTTTCTTGGCTATAGAAATGATTTGTATTTGGAAATCAGAGCTATTTCTCATCTTTGACCAGCTCTTGTGAAGTCTGAACTTCCATGTTTATGCAACCCATCTGTGACATCATACAGTTGTTTGCATGGTAAAAAAGTAGTAGTTAAGGAAGAGACAGCATAAAACATAGTATTTTTGAGAAATATTTATTCCAGGTCTTGGTATATTTTAAAATTTAAATTATTTGCTTTAACATTGACTTCTGGGGCTTTGGACCTTTTTTTAGGTATATGATTTACAAAATTTCCCCCTATTCATAGCTTTTTTTTTTTTAACCTACTGATAGTTTCCTTTGTTAGGTAGAAGCTATTTAGTTTGATGTAGTCTCACTTGTTTATTTTTGCTTCGTTGTATGTGCTTTTGGAGTCAGATCCAAAAACTCATCGCCAAGATCAAAGTTACTGAAGCTTTCCCCTACGTTCTTCTTAGGAGTTTTAGTTTCAGGTCTGATGTTTAAGTCTTTAATCTATTTTTACTTAATCTTTGTAGTAGTATAAGGATCCAATTTAATTATTTTGTGTATGGACAGCCACTTTTCCCAACATCATCTTTTAAGATACTATCTTTGTGTATTCTTGGCCCCCTTGTCAAGACCAGTTGACTATAAAGTGTGGGATTATTTCTGGATTCTTTATTCTGCTCCACTGGTCTGCAGGTATGTCTTCATGCCAGAGCCACAGTGTTTTAATTACTGTGACTTCACAGTATATTTTAAAATCAGAAAAATGGGATACTTCCAGCTTTGTTCTTCTTTCTAGATAGATTTGGTCATTCAGGGTTCTTTGTGATTCCCTATAAATTTTAGGGTTTTTGTTTTCTATTATGAAGAAAAAATGTCAATAGAAATTGCACTGAGTCTGCAGATACTTGGGTGTTATGGACAATTTGACAATATTAATTCTTCTGACACTGCATGACTTGGCATTGAATTTTTCATGTTGAAAATATGAGTACCTATCAGTTCAAAGTAATTGTGACTATGTAACTTATTTATGGGAAATTGATAGAAAATGACAACATATAGAAAATAGTGTGAGGTAAAAATTAAAAAAATATATCTAAATTAAATTATCAGCTATATTCTCTCAAATTACGAGTGAGATCTGTGTAATATGGAAAATATATTTCATTTAACAAGCTTTCACGGAATCTGAGTAGCGCGGCTTCTTGTTCATATCCTTTCTCCTTTGTTCATCTCTCTGGCCCAGTAGCTAATCACAGCAATGGAGTCTGTATATGAGGGGAGACCACACTTGTGAACAAGCACTAGAACATCCAGTCAGTGAAAGGACTTTACTGTTTGTAAAAGGAAGAACCTCCTCAGAAAGACTGCCACCAAAGTTGATCATGTCCTCAAAGCATTAAGTCATTATCTTTACATTTAATTCATACTTATATTTATCTGTTCATTCTATTAAGATCCAATATGCTACAGAGAGAGAAAAACTCAAAAGACTAATCATCATGAGGGGGAAATGATTATTTATTAAAACACTACCAAAAAATGAGGAAAAACAACAAGAACTGTATACAGCTGCAAGGCTAGGTACAGCAGACTGAGTCATCCCTCAGTCTGAAGGTGACAGACAATATGGCTACTACAACCCAGACAGGGCAACTGCTTGACAGGAGCTGTGGTTTCTTGCAGCCAATCTATGGTGACCCCACAACCGAAGGCAGGAAGGTAAGTACTCCTGCTGATCTCCTCCTGCCTTTGGACCAAGAGTGCTTACAATACCCCAATTAGCTGACACCACAGACAAGTCAAAAGGCTAGGGAGTCCACTGGGGAAGCAAGGAGTCTGGCAGGCAAGCCTGGAGAGACCAATGGAAGATAGGCTATCCAACTTACCATGGAGTACATCTTTGGATTTTCCTCTTTGCCAGCTCTGCTGAATGTGGCTTCACCTTCTGAGCACTTTATTCTCCAGATGCAGACAAAACTATATTGAAATGACCAGATTATGATCTGACTTCATGGATGCCAGAGCTAAACATTTGACTTGGGTACAAAACATTGGGAGAAACTGTGGTGATCCAAGTAACTGACTGGGCAGTGGGTGAATTTAGTAACCACAGGCAAAGTGGCTTTATCTGGAAGATGTGATAAGCCAGGGTCAGAGCCATATTGTCTGATGGTCTAGAGTGTGGAGGCACTGGTACACACACTTCCATCCAGAGGATCACTCACCAGCATATGCAAAGTCATCTATAGTTTCACTGAGCACGTGGCATCTTTTTGCAGCTTGACCTAAGGTGCTCAAATTACTGTCAAATAAACTTGGGATATCAAGGTGCTCAGTCAGATGACACCTTTATTCACTGCTGTAGAGACCTAGAACCAGGGAAGATCTGGGGGCGGGGGGAACCCTTGGATTAACTGAGCAATTGAGGCTAGCTCAAGCCTGAGAATATTTGGAAGCTGAAATTGTAATCTGTTGTAAAGATGGTACTTGTCCCCCCATCCCATGATTCACAAAGACTTCTGGAAGAAAGAAGTTCTCCTGGTTTTCCTAAATCTGGGTTGGGAGTGTAGGATTTGGAGGGGGGGAGGGGGGCGTTCTACTATATAACTGAAAAGCAAAGATCTGTATCTTGTTAGTGTCTGTTTTATCTTTTCTGAAGTTGGGAACTAGATGTAAGCTTTCTAAGTCTCACTATTTGTTCTGAAGGGTGGATGACAAGGACCTTCAAGGACTGAGCACATTGCAAATCATAACTGGACTGTTCAGTAAGAATTTTAAACTGTAAAGTAGGGAAAATTAAAGAAGATAATGCACATTAAGAACCAGGTAGGTTGTTACTTATTTGGTGTGGTATAGTTGAAGTCAGTCTGACATTCTAGGGATTAAAAGGCCAATAAAAGCTCTTTGGTTACCTAATCCTTAACCAGAAGCAACTTCTCTTCTATCGTCTACAAAGTGATGATAGAAAACTCTTGGTTTTCACTAGAGTTGGCAAAAACTTCCAAAGAATTTAGTGCTCCATTAACTACCCTTATTTTAGTAAACATTTTACAACTAGTCGGTTTACTTGAGTAATGTGATCTGGAACATGTACTGGGAAAGGAGACTTAATCTGTGCATTGAGAAAGTACATGCATAATTGAGAAACAAAAAGATCTTCAAGTTGATATGGTACTAAAAATGTACTGAAAATAGGTAAAAGTTTAAACTGGAGAGCATACCCTGGTTGCTTCTCTTTCTACATAAATGTCAGAGAACACTATAAAGAATAGTTTTGCTTTTTAGCTGACCATGGACTTGAGGCACATAGCAGGGAAGGGGAAGGCGTCACAACAAAGGAGGGAAGAGCACAAGGGACTGTGGTGATGGTTCACCAGTGCTGTGGTGGAGGAGAACTTCAGGAACTACACTTGAGGGGAATAATCAAATGTTGTAGAAAAATGCGCAATGATGTAAGAAAATAAATGCACTTTTAAAAATAGTTTTGCTTTTTAATAGACTGTAAGTTCTGGTATACTGCTCTCCATTAGGAAAAAAAAAATCATCTGAAAAGTTTTAACATGTGCAAAGGACTTTTAAGGCAAACCAGCCCTATTTGACGAGGTTCCTTTATTTCCAGTTGTATTAAGGCAGCTGTAGTGGAGGAACAAACACTATGTTCTCATTACAATTCACAGGATTCATTCATTCATTCCATAGAACTCTGGTCTACCTTAGTTAACCCTGCCAAGCTGTTTGCTTCTAATATAATACACAATTTTAATGCTGTACTGACTTACAAGCTATGAGGGAGCATCAATCTTGAGATTGTTTACTTTGTACTAGAAACACTTACAGGGATTTGAAGAATCAGTGTTTTAGGCATATAAATCTCCTACTGGTGAGAAAAGTATGCATATGTTTTTCCCCCAGATCTAGAAATCTGTGGAAGACATCTATCTCAGCTACCTTTATTTTTGATGCAAATGTATACTTAGGAAGATTTCTCAAAAAGGGCCAGAAGAGTCTGTGTAGGGCGGAGGACTCCTCATTGGAGCGGAAGCCCTCTTTCTCTAGCCCATCCAACTCTTTTCTCAATAACCCATTTTTGGCTGTCCAGCAGTTCCCTTGAAGACTGTGTCTTGAGATGCCTGATTACATGCTACCTACCAGCCTTACCTTCCACTGCCTAGGTCTTGTAAGGCTCAGATGTACCATTTAAAATAAAACACCACAGTATCTGTGAGGATTACGTCCTTGAAAATTACTATTGTTTTCAAGAATAAGTTCAAAGAGTTGGCAGAATAAAGACTATTTTATTATCATTTAAGCTTTCCCTTTAACCAGAAACGGTGAGTCTTACATTCAAGTCATATCATAAACTGTGGAGTATGGTTGAGCCACCTTTTGGGGCCACAGCCCCTACTGCAGTGGACTAGAGGATGGACATCACTGGGAGTCCTGAGGGGAGGGGTGCCCCTCTGTAGCCTCTGGCAAAATTACTTTTATCTGTACTGGGTAGACCGTCATCCCAAGGAGCTCCTTCGAGAGTCCAGGGATTAGTGGGTTTAGGGGAGCCTGCAGGCAACTGAGGATTCTAGGAGCCACCAACTTGGTGCTCACTATTTTCATCTAGTACTTACCAGAACTTATGGTTCACTTACAAGTACCTGGGAGCCTATTACGGGCTAATCTAATTGTAAAATATGCTAATCAGTCATACCTTCCTCAGACAGTGTCATGGTCTTAAGTTAAATTTCTGATTCTCATACCTGAATAAATATTAAAAATAGATCAACAGATCCACAGGTTTCTTCAGGATAATGGTTGACTTATGCAAAACGAGGACTTTCAGGGATGTTTCAGGCAGTTTACTTTTAGAAATACTTACTCATGTTAACATGACCATACCAAGATAAGATATGAAATATGAGAGGGAAAAAGTAATAAGCAAGTGTCATAAATCTAACATGTAGAAATTTGTGAACTGATTATATTGGTCAATCTCGCTATTACAGTGTGTCCAAAAATGACATGAATTTCTTATCTTCCTTAAATACATATACATTTAACAAAACATTGTGTACAAGTCAACAACTACATATTTGACTATATATGTGTATGTCATTTATTAAGTATCATCTGCTAAGTCTAAGTGAAGGTTTTGAATCAAGTGGCTATAAATTTATCATTTTTACAGTAAATCACTGAGGTATCCCTTAGCAGTGAACATAGCTTTCACATAATTTTATTAGATCCTTTAAAGACAAGTTAGTATTAATTAAATAGGTCCACAGGTAAAATGTATTTTGTGGGAGTATTTTTGACATCTTTTGTTTATTTAACTCAGAGACATTAAGTTAGTATTTTCATTTGAATAAACCCCCTCAATATGCACCACAACTTAAAATATAATCTAAAGATAAAGCACTTTGGTACTCCATGCCATCCTTATTATAACTTAACACCACACTGAATGCTACAGCATTTTATAAAGTTAATTCTTAAATACAAGTATAACTCGTGACCTTGATCCTAGTTTCCATGTTTGCCTTTCAGCACACCCAGGCTCTCGGTCACCACTCCTTCCCCCAGCGGTCTCCTCAGGCAACAGCACTTAGCGCTCAGACAGCACAACCTGTGGTAATGTAAAGCAAGGGTGTAAGCACCCCACTGCCTGTGACGGAGGCGCTCTGTACAGGGGACCCTGAGACGCACTGCGTGACAGAGTCAAGGCAACAGCAGGACAGATACCAAGTCAAACTGGCATGTCCACCGACCAGAGGCTTCCACGTAAAGCCTGAGTGTCCCCCTAGTCCAGGGTCTACACAGCACCCAGCTTGGCTGGCTTCCCTGACTGCACTGTCTGCACAGCCAAGTCGTCAAGCACCCAGGTAGGCGTGGTAGAGATGCCAGAATGAAGCTCTCTCTGCCCAGGCCTAGTCAGAGGCACCTGGGCCACAACGAGGGTGGCATACAGAGGACACTTTAAAGTGAAGGGGCACTGACCACTTGCCAGCACTTAACTCACTGTCCACAGCCTGGGCACTGCTGCGTGGGAGCCTGGCTGCTTCTGGCATCTGCTCGAACGCTCTTGTCTACCATCTCCCAGAACCAGCACTAACCAATGTCTTTTCTCCCAACAAGTTAGAACAACAATAGTTTAAATTACTTTGAAATTTTAATTATAGATACATTTCTACTCAACATTAGAAAGTTTGGAGTCTCTCCTTTTTTCTGCATGAAGGCGGTCACGGTGGCTACTCTAAGCTTCGTATCTTCTCCTATATACATATCTACATGCATGTCTCTTCTTTATTAACAAAAGGTGTCTTGATTGTGATCCCAAACCAATTCTGTACTAGGTTCCAGGTGGCAAATCTCAGAGTCAACCAGCTTCAGAGGAGGGTAGGAAGCAACCGCAGTATAGTGGCAGGAAGAGCTGCAGCTTGATAACTGTTTCTTCTAAGTTCAACTCAGAAAGACAGTAACTCAGAGGAAGTGAAGAAAAGGACCTAGTTTTCACCCCTGCTCCCTCCACACTAGCCTCAAACCCTCTGGTCTTAAAGTGCACGGACTCCTGTAAGGCCCCAGGCCAGGGCTCCCACTGGTGGAGCTCAGAGCAGAGAGCACTTCATGAATGCTCCCACAACTCAGGCCAGGAGAGAGGGGGGAGGCAGGACAAACAGGACCTTTCTGGACATTCAAGTGCATCCTAAGAATAAGTATCTTTTCTTTTGTTAAAAGCACAAAACTGTCAAACTGTAGGACTCCTGACTTGGAAAAATAAAATTTTTAAAAAACTTCTATCTGAAGATGTTCCAGTGCAGCAGAGTCAAAAGGCCGGCAAGCGCGGCAAGTTGCAGAGGGGGAACACACCCCGCCGAGGCCCCGCTCCCATACTGGGAGCCCCTGTGGTCTTCGGCGAAGTCCTCGGCTCTGGGCACAGAGGATGCACACTGGACCAAGGGCATCTGGTAGGATGTAGCTCTCTTCTCGGGCCTGTCCGGACTGGACCCGTCACTGGGCCTTTGGCCATTGAAGAGCAGGTAGCGGCCGCGGGCATCCTGCTCCATTTTGAAGATCTCATACTCTGTGTGAGGTAGTTTGATTCCCAGCGCCACACAGCCATTGGTGTGTGTCACGTCCTGCTGGACACCCACCTGCCAGGAGCCCTCGGCCCCACACTCATTCCCATTGAAGACGTTGAGCAATGAGGCTGTGGCAGCATCCATGGGGGTCACCTTCATGTGGTTCACTGTGAAGGAGAGAGGGTGGCTGTGTGACTCAGAGGAAGTTTGCAGGCAGCGCAGAAAGCCCAGAGAGAACACAGGCAGCACCTATCTCCACACACTTTCTCCCCGAAACCACCCAATGGCTTCGGCCTTCTCATAGCACGTTCAGGGAGAAAGAGCTCCGCATGCTCACTGGAACAGGGGTCAGACCAGGTGTACTGTGGGTGTGAGCAAAAGAAAGTCTACAAAAGAGAGTCTTACACACTGAGCTGTCATGTCTGTTACACACAAACACAAGTGTCTCTCCCAGGAGTTGTCCCTGGTAACACTTTGGGACTGACAAAATATTTGCCAAAAATAGGAACTGTTTTTATGAAAAGGCTTTAAGGTTTCTTTTTTTTTTTTTAATTGTTAAAGTATCAGACTAGTTAACATTCTTGCAAATTAACATTGGTCTGTGAGTAGGGCATCTAAAACAAATTAAAGTGCAAGCAAAATAAAAATAAAAATAAGTAAATACCAACACTGGTAAAGTGTAGCTATTGAAATCCCTCCCCAGGAATTGCATTCTATGTCCATTTGGGGTGGAGTCAGATAGACTCCCTGGGTCACTTCCCTAGAGTGAATCTTCCTTCCTAAGAGAAGGGTGAGATGCACTGGGACTTACCTCAGTTGCAGATATAGTTTTTATTATGTAGACTGAACCACAGAATGCTATCCTAGGAGGGGTCCCAGCCAGGGTCTAGGATTCCCCACTTCATTTGGCCGTGGCAGGACAACCACAAGACCTCCATGGCTGACCATAGCCCAGGGAACCTCATCCTTCACCTACCTCAAGTGGGTCATTGTTATGTAGCCTGAACGTCCATCTTTGAGCACAAGGCAACTTTCCAAGAACATGACAAACTCAGGACTAGAAATGACAACTCTGAGGTGCAGCTGAACCTGCTGTTTTTCCCACTGAGAAAAGCACAGTCTAGACAGCAAATATGATGGCACCTCAGGGACCACTCAGGATCCGCCATGATTAAAACATGCAGACTTGAGATTCTGTTCCCAGGAACACTCTCCTTGGTCTTACCCATGGGTGAACAGCAGAATGGGTTCTTAGAGTCTGGCTTTGGCTGAGTCATCCACCCCCTGGCCACATCCCCAGTGAAGAGCTCAGAGGATAGCTCAAGGCAGAGTTCTCCCTAATCTCTCCCCTAGAACTCAGGCAGAAAGGCAGTCTGAGGCTCCACCTCATCAAAAAGCCGCACACTCCTGCTCCCTGCCCCACCCATTGATTGGACCCCACCTACTGGCTGTGATCCAGGCCTCAGTCCTACCTTTGAACACAAACTCCGTTCCTCCCATGACTCTGGATGAGTGCACACCCCGGCTATAGCGGCCTTTAGCGTAGATGGTGAAGGTGGGGTGCTTGCAGATGGGATCAGAATAGTGGTAGTAGTGCCCCTCCCAGGTGTTGTTGTTGTCGTGGAAGATGAAGTGGCGTGTGAGGAAGAGAACCTCGGGCCGCACCTCGCAGCGCTGGCTCACCCACTCGCCGTGCAGTCCAACGGTCAGGTCAGCCTTGGGGGGCAGCAGGGGTGGGCGGTGCTCGTCTGACCGGTGGATGATGCGGCAGGCTATACAGGCGTGGTCATGGTTCTGAAATCAAGAAACAAGAAACAAACTGAGAGACATGTCTTGAAGGGAGAGACATGTCCATGTGCTTCCCTGCAGGGGCTCACCCAAAGGGACTGGGCAAGCACTAACCTCACACGGCACGGACATTCAGGTTACTGCTGAGGCACCTGGGCATGCAGACGAGGGGCAAGCAGTGTGTGTGTGCTTGTGTGAGTGCTCACATGAGCTCGGTTCACTTTAGGGCCTGCCTAATGTCCTGCAGCGATATGGAGTCTCTGTAGAATGCTGTTACACTTTCACTCCCAGGTAGCTACCAAAGGACACAAAAACACTAATTTAAAAGGAAACCTGAACTCTGTTGACAACGGCACTATTTTCAATTGCCAAGATACAACTGAAATTGCCTAAGTGCCCAAAACAAAAGTGGTATATGCACACATGGTGGATTATTACTCAACAATCAAAAAGATAACTTGTGCCATTTGCAACAGCATGGATGGTGCTGGATGGGAATACACCATAGAAATGAGCCAGAAAAGAAAGAGAAATTCAGATCGTTTCACTTATATGTAGAATCCAGAGAAATGAAGCAAAGGATCAGATAAAGACAAACTGTAAGACAGATCCTAGAAAGCTGACCACAGATCTGAGGCCTCCAGGAGAGGAGGCGAAAAAACAGGGTTGGGGGGTGGGGTGGCCAGAGAGCACAGTGGACTACAGTGAAGGATGATCGATGGGAAAAGTATGGTGACCAGCCCTCAGGGGAGAAGCCTATATTGTGAAAAGAAAAACTAGGATGTAAAATAACGATACATTATTAATAAAAATAGCAATCAATGGAGAGAAAAATATCCTATTACATTTTCAGACCACAAGTGCTGGACACTAGATTTCAAAATGGAAGGTCACCTCAAGCTTTAAAAAGTTCTAGAGATAGACCTCACACTCATTAGGATGGGTACTAAAAAAAAAAAAAAAAATCCCTAAACCCAAAAACTCGGAAATAGCGTTGGAGAGGATGTGGGGATATTGGAGCCTCTGTGTACTGCTGGTGGGAATGTGAAACCATGCAGCTGCCATGGAAAAGTAGTTACCACATGACCCAGCAACTCCACTTCTGGTTCATGCCCAAAAGAATTGAAATCAGGGTCTCAGATATTCAAACAGCCATGTACACCAGCCCTATTTACAATTAGCCAAAAGCAGAACCACCCAGTGTCGACTGACAGATGAATGGGTAAACAAAATGTGGCATATTCACAGAATGGAGTATTATTCAGTTTCCAAAAAGAAATCCTGACATCTTCCAGCATGGAGGAACCTTGAAGTCATCACACTAAGGGAAATAAGCCAGTGACAGGGAAATCCCGTGGGATTCTACTTACAGGAGGCACCCTAAGTGGTCAACTTCACAGAGAAGAAAGAGGAATGACAGTTGCCAGAGGTAAGGGGTGGGGAGTCAGTGCTGAAAGGGTGCGAGGTTTTGGTTTGTGAAGATGAAAAGTCCTTCACACAGAGGCTGCTGAAGGTTACACAAAATGGGCACAATTAATGTCACTGAAGCCGTAGACCTAGAAATGGCTGAGATGGCAAATGTTCTGTGTATCTTCTCACAGTTTTCCATGAAGAAAACTATGAGATACACATGCAAAAGGATGGCCTCCAAACTGCTGTGGATGAAGGGGTGGCTAGAAAGGTCAGGGTTCTTCCCAAGGTGGGGTGCAGGGGGGCCTTAAAGAAGGCGAGAGCCCGAGGTCACCAAGAAGCCAGCGTGCACACCTGCCACCCATCTGTGTCTGCTGACCTTGAGAGTTAGAAGGTTTCACAAGCTTTTAATTTGCTTTTGGCTTTATAGCTTTGAGCCATTTAATGAGTGCAAGAAAGAAGTGGCTCTGTTTCAGGAGGCCTCCTTCACTCAGTCATTTCTACTACAGTAACAGATCTTGGAGCCAGGGCTATGCAGGTTTGAACTGGGCTAGCCAGGTAGCTATGCAGGCATGGGCACAGGCAGGAAACAGACACTGAGCCGGGTCTTCACAGGAGACGTGCCCATGAGCTTCCCCCAAAGTGGCTTACGGTAAATGCTGTTTGGAAAAATCAATGCCTGGAAGACAGGAGAGAGGTCCTTGACCTCACTGTCACTGTCCAGCTGTCTGGCCTGTTATAGGGCCAGTGAGCCAGGGGCTGCCTCCCCCAAACAGGGGACCATCCATCTACTCTTGTCTCTCCCACGTGGGGCGCTGTGGGGCATACTGTGCTCACACACACACACTGGGTCCCAGTGCATTTGGTGGCCTGTGGTTTCCTACAAAGGACGCTGGGGGCACATGGAGAAAGTGGCCTGTACCATGCGCTCAGCACTGGAAGGAAACAGGTAACCTGCACAGAGGACAGTGGCATGCTGGCTGGTACCATGTAGAAAGACGCTCAGAACGGCAGAAGACCCGGGGGAAGAGCACAGACCTGCTAGGGCCACATGCAGGTCCGCATCAGAAGCTCAGTGCCAGGTGTCCACATTACCCATGAGGACCCCACAGTGGCAGCTTGCTAACTGCGGGTCCTGCTGACCCACCAAATAACCCAAGGAGGCTGCCAACCCAGCTTCCCCACCCCCTCCAGCGTCCACGCCTGGTTTTGCTAGCTGTAATTTGGGAATTTAGAAACATCAGTTGTGATCATTTCATTCCTGGCCCATCTAGAAGGTGTGAGTCTTAATCCTTGAAAAGATGTTTTTGTTTCCTCAATACCAATAAATCACTTTAGGAATTTCCCAGAAAGCTTTCAGGTAGGGATGGGAGGACAGGAGGGGAGCACAGTGGGTCATAATTTTTGATCCCAGAAGAGCTGCTTCTGGGATTACAGCAGATCAGCTGTTCTTTGGTCAGTTAAGAAATAGGCTTGGTGAGGAAAGGTGGGCACAGAAGCCAAGTCCAGGCTGTTCCAGAAGGTACCACACCCAGTGCATAGCATCTGGTGTTGGATGGGTGCTTTTCAGAACAACAGGGCGTGGTCCTAAGTCTCAAGATGAAAACCCAGTACTGACAGGGTTTCAGTAGCATGGCAGGCCTGGGCTAAAGTGTCGTTAGGCAGCAGAGAAAAGCAGGCTAGGCAGTCCTCACTGGGGTCTGGGAGAATTCAGAGAGGGCAGGAGTAACCTGGTGCTCAGGTACTGGTCTTGCCAAATTCCTACACTGCTGATGTCATTTAACCATGGTAAAATATATCTAAGATAAAACTGATGATCTTAACCATTTTCTATGTACGGTTCAGAGGCATTCAAGACACTCACATGATATGACCAGCAGCACCACCCTCTCCAGAATGCCTTCCCCACCTGAAGGTCTTCACCCATTAAACACTAACTCCCCGTCCTCCACCCCACCTGCGAGCAGCCACCATCCACTTTCTGTCTCTATGAACCTGACTGTTCTAGGCCCCTCATACAGTGCTTGTTCTTGTTTTATGACATTGTTTAGCATTGCTTAACATGCCAAAATGTCCTTCCTTTTAAAGGCTGCTATAAATACACCTTACACAACATTGTTTATCCATTGATGAATGTTGATGGACATTTGGTTTGCTCCTACTTTTTTTTTGGCTATTGTAAATAATATGTTAAATTAGCATGGGTGGAGGGGTATCTTTGCAAGACCCTGATTTCAATTCAGTTGAGTGGATACCCAGAAATGGAATGGCTGATAAACCACAGGGCAATTCTATTTTTGACTTTTTGAAGCACTATCACCTTATTTTCCGTAGTGACTACACAACTTATATTCCACCAGCAGAACACAAGGTTTCTAAATTCTATACATCCTTACCCACAACTATTATTTTCTTTTTTGATAGCAGCCATTCTACTGGATGTGACATGGTCTCCCACAGTGGTTCTGACTGGCCATTCCTTAGTGATTAGTGATGCTGACATCTTTTCATGAGTTTGTGAGCTATTTATATATCTGCTTTGGAGAAATAGTAGGTCAAGTCTTTTATGTCAGGTTTTGTTGATTAGCTGATTACTTTTTAAAAGTTTTAAGCTTCTTAAAACTTTTAATACTGTTAGCTGGTATTAAGAAACCAAGGATGCCATTGCAAGGATGCAGCTTCTGACCTTTCCGTGGCTACTGTGAGCAAGGGAACCATTTTAGCTATGGTTAATAAGAAGGACACTTTTCTGTTTTATAGAAAGATTATTTTCAAATGCAATTTGTACTCTTAACTCCTACCATCCTTGACTTGCATTAGCACTAAAACACCTACAGGAACAACTATGGGAAAGTAGAAATTAAGCTCTGTACATTGTATTGGATCTAAGGTTTCCCTTTCCAAAATGTTTCCCTTAAGTAGTAATCTTTCAGTGTGTGGAGTTTCTCAACATGAACAGTGATTTGCACTATGAAATATTTGCTTCATGAAGTTTCTCTTTTTTTTTTTGGCCCAAGCTCCAGTACCTGGTTCTCATCTGAGCAGCTGTCCTCTCCCAGGCCTTCCAACTGGATTTCTCCATCACTTGCTTTCTCTAAAGCTTAGAAAGAGCTATCCTAAGGCCAGGGTTATTGTACACAGAGGGACAAAATTGTGTCCTTGTTGCTGTTCTTTGCACCAACTATAAAAAGATTTAGTTCAAAGGGAAGAGGAGATCAAAGAGCCTATAGAGTTAATCTCTTAAAAGAAAAAAAAAAGGAAGTCAATCCAAAAAAGAAAAAAAAACACCTAAAACTTTGTAAGTCAGTAATGTTGTAGACACAGTAAAGTTTTCCCCACTCTGCTTTCTGTGCTCTGGTCACAAAGAATAACCACAGCTTGCGAATAACGGACATGTGATCCTAAGTTCACGTGCATCATCTCCTTGACAATCTCCTAAAGGAGTGGTGTACACCTTACAGAGGAGGTCACCAAGGCAGAGAGAGAGAGAGAATAATGCCTTTCCAATACTTCGTAAGCCCAAAGCAAAATCCAAGTATCATGTAGTCTGAGCTGCCTCAGGCTGAGGACCTTTGAAGAAGACAGTGTTTCCTCTC